CTTGACATACAAAATGAATATGTAAAGATAAAACCTAGTGTTGGGTTTTAACGGCAGCGAGGAGGTAGCCAGTGACTGGTACAAGATGAAGACATCCTGAAACAATGGAGTGTGAGGAGGCCAGAAAGCTGGCACATGATGGCCTGTCCTATGGCCCTTTTTGAATTAAATGGCATGTCTTGAAAAGAGAAAAATTCAGCTAATTGGGGTGGTGGTGGGGAAGCAAGTGTCTTCTGAGCTTTGTCTAAATGGTGGAATAAACAAACTCGATTATGATCAGTGTTAAGAGGTAGAAGAAGGGCAAGTGTGAAGGTGGGGTAGGAGGAAGGTGAAAGGAAACAGAGGCCAGGTCTAGGAAGCAAAGATATGGATAGAGGTATAAGCATAGGTGTGTACATATGTATATACATTAAATCATAAAAATAGAGGCATTGGCCTATGTACATATATCTATATGGCAATACACAGAGGTAGTGGACAGACTTGGGCCTCTGCTCAAGCCCTCCCTCAATGCAAGGACACTTTGTTCTAACACCTGGCATTCTGTCATGCTCAGCCTCCTGGCACGGTGGCTGGAGACAAACCAGTGCATAAGCAAACGCGGTGAAGAAAGCGGATGGTGCCCGGCTATCAAAAGATACAGTGTCTGGCGTCTTAAAGGCCTGAAGTTAAACAAGCAGCCATCTAGCAGAGAAGCAACAAACCCACATGGAGGAAGCACACCAGCCTGTGCAATCATGAGGTGTCGATGGGATTGTATAACAGGTATCAGAAGACACACAAAAAAACAAATAAATAAGCAAACAAAACCATATTATTGAGAACAAGGGGGATCGGATCAGAGATCCAAAACCCATGTGTAGACAGTTGGACATCCCCTCACAGAAGGGTCACAAAGACAGATGAGCCAGCCGGGGCACAGTAGAGCACCAAGGAAACACACACAGTTCCTCTGGTTCCTTGAGGCTTCCTCACCCCCCACTATCATGACTCCCGTCCTGCCTTTCAGTGCAGGCTAGAACAGAGCATGTGCACAGGTACAGCTAAGAGATAAGAGCTCACAACACACGGAATCTAGAAACGAATGGGAGTATTGATACCTGGAGGGTAGGGGGAGGTGGGGAGGAAGGGGGAACCACTGATTGCAATGATTGACACATACCCATCCCCCTTCCCCCAGGGGGATGAACAACAGAAACCACAGGGGAAGGGAGGCAGCAGTTGGTGTAAGATATGAAAATAATAATAATTTATCAAGGGGTCAGGAAAAAAAGAGGAGCTGATACCATGGGCTCAATAGAAAGTAAATGTTTAGACAATAATGATGGCAACGTATATACAAATATGCTTGATACAATTGATGTATGTATTGTAAGAGTTGTAAGAGCTCCCAATAAAATAATCTTTTAATAACTAAAAAAGAGCATTTGCCAATTTCTATGAAACTGTGAATAATAAAAAAACAACCATGAGTCACAAGCAACAGAGAGGGGGCTAATTGCAGTATTTACTGTACAGCCTCTGATTCACCATTATTGTGGGAGAGAGCCGAGACCTTTTTAGAGGATGCATGTACATTCGGTGAAAATCCACATCTTAGCCAGCTACACTAGCTAAGAAATTCCTTGTGAGTCAATTTAAATTACAATCTCAAACAAAAGGTTCAGTTAAAAACAAAACAAAAAAACAAAAACAAAAAACCAAGAAGAGATTTAAATACTATTGCTTAAAGTAAAAAATCGAGGAGAAATTAGTAAAAAATATAACATAAGTGAGACCTGTTTTAAGAACTCATGATTGGCAATATTGGTCTTATAGAAGGAATAAGTTAAATTTGTTTATTTGCTTTAGGAGTTTTAACGGGCTGTAAGGTGAACATGGCCTGCTTACCTCAAGGGTGGTGGTTCAAACCCACCAGCTGCTCCTAGAGGGAAAGCTGAGGTTATCTGCTCCTGTGAAGATTTACAGCCCCAGAAACTCAATGAGTCAGAAGGGACTCAATGTCAGTGGGTTTGGGTTTGGTTGGGATTCTTTGCTATTCTCAACACTCTATAACGGAAATAACGATTGTCATGGTTCTCGACTCCAGGCACCATGGCAGGAAACTGCCTGTCCTCGTGCCACCCCCTAGGTTGGGTGCAGATTGGTCCGCTGCCATCCACAGCGGCTTCACTGCTGCTTTTCAGAAGGACATTGCCAGGACGGTCTTCTTAGTCTGTCTCGGTCAGTCTAGAACCTCTGCTAGAACCCGGTCAGCAGCATCACAGTAACATTTGAAGTCTCCTGACAGCCAGGGGTCGTGGCTGTGCTAGAGGGCCCTGGCTGCCAATCAGACCTGTGCTCCCTGCACGAAGGTGAGAATTCTACCACGGAACCCCCAATGCCCACCCCCCCAACCCCCGACAAAACAAAACAACATACTGCCCACCAAAGGGAAGTGGTTAAATAGACTACTTCTCTGTATATAGCAGAATACGAGGCGGCTTCTTAAAAGAATAAAAAGAGGACTATAGTTTTAAGTAATCTGGAACAATTAGGCAAGGCATGTGAAAGTATGTATGATTTTTCTCTCCTTTAAAAGTCTTAACTTAGACACAAAGTCTAAATGAGTCCATATCATTCTCTCATAGTGGTTAACATAGGGGTAGCAGGAGGGCTGCCTGACCAGATTTATCTATTAAACACCATCAGCGCTATGTTCACAAGGACAAATTGTGTTTTACAATAAAATGTGTTGGTTTTTGGGGAGAAAAAAAAAAACCCAAAATATAAATAAAAGGGATTCTTTTAAATATTTGAAAAATTGGAGTATAGTTTACTATGAACATTATAGAACTCATTTAAATTTGGTTTGAAAACAGACCTTAAGTAGGAATGGTAAGACTCATATGAGTCCAGGAAGTTCTGGGAATGAAAAAATTCCTTCTTATTTATACCAATCTTGGTCTCAAAACTTATAAAGACATTGAGTGTCTCTCAAGATGGATGGTGAGTGTTAGATTGCTTTTTCACGATTCCACGGGACGTTTCAGCAACGAGCCTCCATGTCCACTTAGACCAGTGGTTCGCCACCTTCCTAAGTCTGCTACCCTTCATGCAGTTCCTCATGTGATGGTGACCCCAACCATAAAATTATTTTTGTTGCTACTTCATCATTGTCATTTTGCCACTGTTATGAATTGGGCGACCCCTGTGAAAGGGTCGTTCGACCTCCAAAGGGGTGGGGTCAGGACCCACATGTTGAGAACCACTGACAGACTCCCTGAAGAAAGCAGAGCTCCAGCTTGGAAGAGGTCTGTGCAGCCCTCGGGGACTGTCTGTCTGTCAGCTCACAGCCACAAAATGCAGAGTGACATCTACTTTCCGCACTCAAGGAAGATTGTGAGCGTTTGACTGCAGGGCCATGAACAGAGCTGGGGTGTGATTACCAGCCGCTGTCTGGAGAATATGGCTGCTTTTCCAGTACACATTAAAGCAAGAGACAGGCAGCCGTATTGGGTGATAGTTACGGGCTGTGATGTCGGGTCGTGATAGCACAGGGAGACTGACCACAGTCTGTTATTATAGGCAATTGTTTCCCTCCTTGTGATGGCAGCAAGCAACAGGGAGGGCACAAACCAGGGCAGCATTAGTAAGCCTTTAAGACATTATGATGCTGACTGAGTAGGCCAAGGGCATAAAGTAGGCATAATGATGCTCTATATTTATGATTCCTTTCTTGCAGAGGCAATAGGTATTTGTACTTTCAGGGTCAAAATAAAAGCGTAATACCTGAACTATTTGAATTGGCAAATGGTGGGCTGTATATATTAGTTTAGCAACAATTTTCAAGTCAAATGCAACTTACTCAGGCCTTATAGTAGACAGAAGCAACTTTGTTTAGAAAGTCAGAGATCTTAAAGGCTCGTCTAAAACAAGCAGCCATCTAAGTGAAGTATCAACTAAGTCCATCTGAAGAAGCACACCAGCCTATGTGATCTAAGGATCATAAATAATAAAATGCAAGACCGGAGAAGGGACTGGTATTAGAGCTTAAGTTCTGAGCACACGGTTTACAGCAGATTACGGATGACAATGAAAGTCCAAAATCCCTTAGCAGGGTCCTTACATAGATTAAGCCTCTGGTGAATCCCCTCTGATCACTGACCAGGGATGTGAATGGCCTTGCTGTCAGGCAGAGGGCACTGAGAAGCAGACTAACGCTGATATCGTTAGGTTAACATTTAACCACTTATCATTTGTTCTCCCTTTTGACCCATTTTAAGTTTGTTCTGGTTTTTATTATTTTCTGTTATCCTGTCAATTGATGTTTTTCTGTTTGATATTGTTGGAATTTTTGTTTTTTGCTTTAAGAAAAGTTCCAAATTTGATTGTGGTGATGAATGCACAACTCTTTCTAATAGGTTTAAACCACTGAATTGTAAGATATGTGAGTTACTATCAATGAAACTATTAAAATAAAAAGGTAACTTTCATTATAAAATTCAGACATGATTAACTACAAAAAATGAAGCCCCAGTAAACAAAAGATGTCAACGACTACTTATAACTATCCAAGCAGGTAACCAGGAGACAAGAATTTTGGCTTATGCTTTTATCATTTGTCCATCTTCCTATCCATCCAATGAACACACATACACACACACACTTTATAAAGCAAGTGGCATCATACTGTTCATAAGATCTTAAAATAGAAACCAACTTGTATGTACTTGGAAACTTTGCTCAGATCAACATCCTTGTTGATTCTCTGCACATCATTTTGATGATTTCCTTGGAATAAATGACCAGAAGTCGAACTGCTTTGTAATGGCATATCAACGATGTCTAAAAAAATATTGATACTTAATTTGAATCTCTTCTGAACTCATAGCTTCATGCATTAAAGTTCTTTGGCCAAGCGTGCTCAGGGCCTTTTGAGGTTACATTGTCAGCTGTAGAACAGTTCAAGGTTGGTTAATAACCTTTCCTTTTAAATTTTTGAAACGATTCGTACTTACTTTCCGAGGCTTCACTTTATCTTGTAAATCATATTGGCCGATTCCCTTATAACTGATACCAAGCCACCAAGGAATTCCTTGTTTATCCTAAAAGATGGAAAAGCATAAGAAGGAAGACCTAATTGTTCACTCTTCCAGAGGTAAGGCAATATTTAACAATGTCATCCCTAACAAGTGTCAGCAAGTCAAAATAAAGCTAGCTGACTTGGTAAATAAACACATCACTTAAAAACCGAAATTGCTAGTCATGCCTTCTCAGAGTTCCTTCAAAGAGGGCCCAGAATGCAAAACAGACCCAAACAGTTCATATTGTCAAAAAGAACAGAACATTACTATTTTAAAATAATACCTGGAAAAAAGAAAAAAGTACAACAAATTCAGCTAAGAATGAATTCAGAGTACAATGCCAGTTAGTCATTAAAAAAAATTCCTTTGAGATTCTCTCAATTATTAACTATCTATGAAGACAAAAGGAAGTTTTCTAAGAATCATGGAGATAGGAAAAGTAGTTACAAATCCTGGTGGTAACTTACAATGAATATGGGAACATTGAAAAATCCTTTTGAAGAATTGTATAGTTAAATGACAGAATGTTTGAATAAGCAGTTGGAGTACATAGGAGTAAGTTATATTCTGGATTTTTCTGTATACATTTGTCTCTTTCATTTTGCCAGTGGAAAGAGTGTGTTCACAAAAAAGAAAGAAAACCTTAAGCTTAGACAGATACATACAATGAAAAATCAGTAGACATTCAGAGTTGAATTAGCTCATTTATTTAGCGCCTAACCAACTCCCCCCAAACAAACAAACAAACAAATCCTGCCATTAAGTGGATTTCAATGCTCAGCAACCCTATCTAGGGTTTTCAAAATGAAAAACATTCCCTTAAAAAAAAACCCTCTATTCTTAACATTAAGTTTTATCTTTGTGCATCATAAAATATTTATCCATCTTCTTTTGCTTATAGACATCTGAAAAAACTATGCAGCATGAATCATATTGATCAAAGCAAACTGAAAATCCTGCACCATCTCAGCATCCTGTGAGGTTGCTGAAGTGAACAGGCATGAGTCTTGCACAGAAGACTGGAACAGTTGGACAGGAGAACAAGTGGAAAAAGAGAAAAGCCAGCCAAGACAGCAACAGGAGGAGGGGCCCCAAAGAGGAGAATCTGAATATTTTAGCATTACTTGTCATGTTGGGAGAACATGGAGCCTGGGTGACGTAATGGGCTGGGCATTGGGCCGCTAACCACCAGTCCAGCAGTTCATACTCACAGCCCCACTCCTCGGTGAAAGAGGAGGCTGTCTGCTCCTGTCAATAGTGACAGCCTCGGAAACCCACAGGGACGTTTCTGCCCAGCCCATAGGGCCACTATGAACCAAGCCCATTGCAGTAAGTGTTAGGAAAATATACCCTTCCGATACTGCAGTGTGGTTAAGCTCTGGCTGCTGGCTGTTCAAACTCACCAGCTGCTCTGGGCTTCTAATGATGTCCAGTCCTGGGAACTCCACGGGCAGGTCTCGTCTGCCCTGTAGGGTTACTATGACTCAGAATGGACTGAATGGTAGTGGGCTTCATTTGTTTTGGGGGAGAAATTTGTGTATAGATAAAATATTTTGCAAAAATAATATGCCCATGATTGGCTAAAAATGATAAGACGTAACTGTGCTGTTATTATTTTTTCCTCCCCACCCCCCCCCTTTTCTTTCCTTCTTTCTTTTTTCTTTTCTTTTAAGCCTACAGCACCCGGTATTCCCAGGAGGTCTCCCATCCAAGTACTAACCAGGCCCAACCCTGCTTAGCTTCCGAGATCAGACGACATTGGGTGTGTTCAGGGTGGTATGGCCGTAGACATGCTGTTATTTTGAACAAAACTCAGCCCTACTCTTAATGCTGCACTTTCTAGAGACAGTTTACATGCCCACTCGTTCGGGTTTCTATGGTTTTAGAATGCTAGTGCGGTTCAGTCACACTCACCAGACGTCATAATTGCTGAAGAAACTGGAAGGCAATAGACTAAGGGAAGTTCTTCAACAGGACCAATATTGTGTAAGACGCCTTTTTTATATTAAACAACAGCAATCGAGTTGAAAGCTTTCCTACCAAAAGAACTGACTTTGGTGGCTGGAGGGAAGGTGAAAGAAAGACCACCCTGAGTCTGAGGGCTCCCATCTACCATTACTGAGCATGACTCCTTACCTTCACTGCGTAGTAATGGACTCCATACGTTGGTAGCGCTTCTACTATTTTCATATACCTATAGATAATGAATACATATCACAATCTTTGATTGAAATATGCAGAGAGCCCTGATGGGAAAAACAATTAAAGAAACAACATTTGTATCGACTGTCCTCATATCACCACGACTAATGATATACTCTAGCAGAAATCACGGGAAACTTTCTGGAGAGTAAGATATGTCACTCTATCCAAGGTGTGCAGAAGCTCTGGTGGCGTAGTGGGCTGTACACTGTGCCGCTACCACAAGGTCTGAGGTTGGAACCTGCTAGGTGCTCCTCGGGAGAAAGATGAGACGGTCTACGCCTACTAAGATTCACAGTCTCAGAAACCCCAAAGGGCAGTTCTACCCTGTCCTACAGGGTCACTATGAGCCAGAATCACCTTCAGCGCAGAGGCTTTGATTTGAGCTTTTATTCAAAGTATGGAAGGTTGTTAGCAGACTTTGAATCAAAAAGCTCTAGGAAATATTATCTTCCAACTATAGGTATTAAGAAACATATCATATGATAGTATATTAGAATCTCAAAATACAATTATTTTTTAATGTAAGCAATGAGAATTTACTTTGGTGAATTTTCTCACAATAACAAAAAATCTGTATATTGATTGTGGTACAGGTTACAATCTGTATATTGATTGTGGTACTGTAAATGTCTGTCAATGTTCTTTGAACTGCATACATAAAGGGCAAATTTTCTTGTAGGTAAACTTGGCTTAGCACAGAAACCTCAATAAATGTGCCTTCAAAAGTATACCTGACTTTCAAAACACCAAAGCGATGTTAATATTACTTGGCATAAAAATTATTTTTAAAAACAATAACCCAAAGCCACTGCCATGAAGTAAATCAAATCAATTCTGACTTATAGTGGAATCTTCATTCAACAAGTTATAGTGGAATCTTCACTCAACAAGGACTGCTATACATAAC